CAGCAACACTATCAATCCAAGCAAGCTACCAACGTGTCAACGCTAGTACTACCAACAAATCAACAACTCCCATGAGCAGCAGTAATAGTATCAGCAACACTACCAGCAATACTCATCAGCAACGCTCATCAGCAACACTACCAGCAATGCTCATCACCAACACTATTCAGCAACACTATTCAGCAACAGCACTATTCAGCAACATTATAGATGCCTATCAATGCCACTCAACAACATAACTTACTGACATTTGTCAAGAACAAGTGGGATAACAAGACAACCGACGCTATCAGCAACGCAACCGCAACCAACCATCCAATGCAAATTACTATGAACAAATATTTCCACTAAATCTCTAGCCCAAACAAAACCCAGGTTGCACCTCCATCAAAACTCCTTGGAGGGAAGTGCCGCCCCTTGGAGCAGCTAGAAGCATACTTTCCACCAAAAAGCTATGGTTCTGGCCATATAGCGCCTCTTCTAGTTCATGAGGCTAAAAATAATATCAAGATTTTTTTTACTTGCACCAGCAGACAAATTTATCACAGCTTTACATGCTATCACCACACTACGTACAGGTCTTCACATCCCATCTCACCTTGTCTCCAAGAAAATGATGCAACTCACAATCAATGCCCTTACGCTGCAAACGACCGCCAATGAAGAAGAAGCATTTGGCAATTTCACATGCCAAAAACTCAAGATACTTGATAATTGGCAAGACTGATTACATCCAGAACACAAGCAACTTGACCAATTCCGTGATCTTGAAATGTATGGAAAACCAACGCCATGACCTCCAAAATCAATCCTCCTATGACCTCATTGGCAATATCAAGTTTGCAAAACTGGCAAATGTTGATATTGAAATTGCTGTGACCGGTCAAAACGCTCTGCACCACTACTCCACACCATTGCCTCCACATATTCATACGTGGAACAACCAGTACAGCGATTATTCTTTGCTCTTACTGCCACCATCAGTTATTATGTTCTCCCTGTACAACACGACCTACAGGGACATCCTGTAATCAGGCAGGCTCTGGGAAGAGCATGTTAATAAAATATTGTTCTCTCCAGAACTCAAGTTCACAACAACGACTCATGACAAAATGTATTTACCAAACATTCTATGGTATAGGCTTGGCCAGCCAATGTACAGTTATAACCTTGGATTCATGGCCATCTTTTTCCCGTGTAAAATATGTTGAGTGCGCCAACTGACATCACGAAATCTTGTCCGAACACACCATTTTTTCTATGGAATTTTTGTCATGATGTCTGTCAAAGTGCTGGAAATTAATTCTCAATGAACATATTTACCTAGAATAACATCCAATGTTGCACCTCCAATGTTGCACCAATACTGATCCTTGATGCCAATAGCAGCAAGGCAACTCTTTGTCAGTTGTTGGACACAGAGGAGTCCTCACAACCATGTGCTGAAGCTACCATAATTCCAGTGAGAGCGCTTCTCGTTCCAACAACCAACATCTTCTTGCCCCCCCTCCACTGACACTAATCAGCCACACTATAAAGCAACAGTTCATCTCCAGCAAGAGTATCAGCAAGAGTATCACCAACAGCAACTCCAATAGCAACACTAACAGCAATGACACTAA